CTATCTATCTATCTATCTATCTATCTATCCATCTATCTATCTCTTCTCTAGTTCCACTTGTACTTGTAGGATGAGCATAATGTTTGTACACAATGTGACTGAACGATGTCTCCGGCCCGTGCACCGGATGTTCATCATGTCCGTGTCTCTGTCAGATCTCAGTGACCGTCGTTTAGAAGTGGTCGGCCTTGAAGGAGCCATGGAGATGGGGCAGATCTACACGGGCCTGAAGAGCGCGGTGAGGCTCGCCAAAACGTCCCAGATCACCATCAGGTGAGAAGCAGCCACACGGACGTGTCCAGACTCGTCGAGCGTTGTGCTCCCTGCCCTGCGTTTGACTGACGATCCTTCTCTGGATCTTTACATCACAGTAATTATGTATGCTGGGTTTTCCTATTGGTATTTTAATTAGACGCGACAGTCATTGATTCTGTTTGCTCACCCCAGGACAAAGAAAGCATTACCAATGCAGATAGATGGGGAGCCGTGGATGCAGCCTCCCTGCACGGTAACTACACACAGAACAACACACTGTGGCCTCTTTACTGCAGGAATCAAACGCTGGAGCTACAATGTCATTCACTCCACATTTTTCCATTTATATTTTCTTTTCAGATTCACATCACTCACAAGAATCAAGCCAGCATGTTGATGGGTCCTCAGGCCAAATCTACTGGGTTCTTCAACTACAAATGAAATGAAATCCACTGACTTCATGCACTCGTCCACTGTAAATAAAGAACTGACACTTTGTAGTTTTCAATATATAAAATCGATTTGAATGTGTCTGTTGTAGAATAATCACCTGGTAACAGTCAAAGGTTCTGCATCTCTGTAACTTATAACCAAAGCATGGCACTGTATGAAATACAAGCTGTAACATGTGTTGCATCGTGGCAGAATGAACTCGACCAAATTCACTCAGTGTTTCTTTCTGGATGCTCGACACTGTCGCTGCCTCTGTCTCGATGCTTCGTGGTGAGTGAGTGGGAACGCCGCTCACCCGGAACGTAAAGCAAAATGAAAGTAAAGAAGAGTATTTAGCTTCGTGTGCCTTTAACAGTCTGTTCTTTGTGGTTGTTGAGGCGTAGGTAGAAGAAATGCAGGGCGCTGTGCAGGCATGCAGTTTGGACGTGGACCATGTGGTGTTGTTTTTCGTGTGGCTGTGAAGACGCTGGCATTGACGGTTTTTGGCGGCAGGAGTGAAGGATAGATGAGGTTATGTTTGAGATTATGTCTGAAGTCATTTGTATTTTTTTTTCTCCTACATTTCAGAAGATACTTGAAAGTGTTTTAGGGAACAGATACAGGACAATCATTGCCAAAAGGTCTGAGTGTTGATGCAGCAGTCGGCCTGCTCTGTTGTTCCTGTGTGTGTGTGTGTGTGTGTGTGTGTGTGAGTGAGAAAGAGAGAGAGAGAGAGAGAGAGAGAGAGAGAGTACTTGTTATGTCTTTGTGAGGACCAGTTTGAGTCACAGATCTTATGGAGTGAGGGCATTTTATTCAGTCCTCACAACTTGAGGCTGTTTGAGGGATAATAAGTGTTTTTAGGGTTGATGGTCGTGTGTGTGTGTGTGTGTGTGTGTATCAGAGCTTAAAGTCTGCTGTACATGTTGACTGTGGAAAGTTGTGATATGTTCACTTCTAACTTATAAACTGAGACGACTTGGATTTTCAAACCACCGATTCAAACCTGTTCAAACATATATAATCCTTATTTAAATGCTTTATCCATCATATCATTTCACTGTATCTAGAGAATGTTAACGTAATATATCTGGAATAACACACTGTGTGAAGACTTTAATAAATCGTCTGCGCTTCTCGAGTTTCTTCTACTTTTCTTGACACTTGGATGTGACTGCACAACACCGCTTCACTCTGCGGTTCATGTTTTCTACCACAAGGGGGCGTCGTCTACTTTTCATTCTGTGGCAACCCGTTTATGTCCATTAAGTCAAAATCTCTTCTTTTATTCTAGAATTAATAATTTTAGAGCTTCATCTCTTAAAATGTCAGATATTAAATCAGTATCTACTTTGTTCTAGTTGTGTCGAGCTTTCAATGTAACTAACTAATTCACTATTTCATTCCAGAACATTTTGATTAACTGGCTGGAGACAGTCAACTGTGTCTTCTAATGTTTGAACATAATGTGACTATCTATCTATCTATCTATCCATCTATTTATTTATCTATCTATCTATCT